GTAGAAGGTAGCATGATGGTTAAGGTGCTGGACTCCCACATGGCCGACCACAGTTTGAGTCCTGGATCTCGAGGCTTGCTTTCTCACTTTCCCTCTCTCTTTTTCTCTCTCTCTCCTCTCTCTCTCTCCCTGGTGAGTGTTCATGCCCTATAACAAATTAAATAATAATAATAATAATAATAATAATAATTGGAGCCGCCAGGTGGCATAGTGGTTAAGGTGCTAGACTCCCACATGGCTGACTGTGGTTCAATCCTGGCCCTGGTGGCTTGAAACTCACATTGAGTATGTATGCATGCATGCACAAAATTCCAAGAGGAGATGAAGGAGAAAGGACTGTGGCATGGCCATCTCCCCTGGGGGTAATTTCTCACTTCTTTCTGTCTCTCCAGTAAGAGAAAGAAAAATTAAATAAACAATTCTTTAAAAAATTCTTAAATGGGACCAGCAGTTGACGTAATGGCTATGTCAGCAGACTCCCATGTAGTCGACCACAGTTCGAGTTCCAGACCTGGTGGCTTAAACTCACTCTGGGTGCATGTGCATGCTTGCCGAAGATCCCGAGAGGAGAATGGAGAAGGGATTGTGACGTGGCCATCCCCCCGGTGAGTGATTTCTCGTTTTCTGTCTCGCTAACTCTGTCTTTCTTTCTGGCGAGCACACACGCCTTATAGCAAAAAAAAAATTTTTTTTAAACTCTCAAAAAAAAAAAAAAACCCTTAAATGCATAAACCTCAGTTAGTATTACAAGTTGATGAAAATGAACATTTATTCCTTCACATGACAGCAAAGCAGCAAGAGAGAAAAGTTTGTTCAATTCTAATTTTATCATTAACGCCACTTGATAAGAGAGTCAGGAGAAAGGGCATGGCAGGCACCAGGAACAACATGGGCTCGCCCCTACACAGGGTCCTGTTTAAACAACTCAAGGCCTAAACATCTCTATTTCAGTGATTCAGAAACATTGTGTTATATAAAAGTAAAGCTAACAGGATAAATGCATGAGAACATTAATCAAATTTATCTACATGCTACCCATTTCTACTTTTCTTTTTCTTTTTTACTTTTTTTTTTTCTTTTTTACTTTGGTATAGGGCATGTGCACTCACCAAGGGAGAGAGAGAGAAAGTGAGAAATCACCCTCTCCCCTAGGGGAGATGGTCATGCCACAATTCCTTTTCCACAGTGCTCTTGGGATTTGGGACAAGCACATGCATGTGCCCAGCATGGTTTTCAAGCTGCCATGTCTGGGATTTGAACCTCACAGTTGGGTGGGACCCAGCCACCTTAATCATCATGCCACTTGCTGATCCTCTACTCCCACTTTTAAAAGTTGTCATTACCAGGGCCAGCAGGTAGCATGGTGGTTAAGGGTGCTGGACTCCCACATGGCCAACCATGGTTTGAGTTCTGGACCTGGTGGCTTGCTTTCTTACCCCACCCCCACTCTGTCCCTGTCTGGTCAAATGAAAATAAGTAAACAAATAAATGAATTTAAATAAAATAATTTTTAAATATTATTCTTAAAAAAAAAAAAAAAAAGTTGGGAACCAGCAGTTAGCGTAATGGCTATGTCACTGGACTCCCACGTAGCCAACCACGGTTCACATCTTGGACCCGGTGGCTTAAAACTCATGCTGGGCACGTGTGCGTGCATGCCCAAGATCCCGAGAGGAGAATGGAGGAGAAGGGATTGCGGTGTGACCAACCCCCCTGGGGGGTGATTTCTCGCTTTCTGTCTCTATGTCTCTCTCTGTCTGTCTGGCGAGCGCACGCGCCCTATAGCAAAAACCTCTCCAAAAGAAAAATAGTTGTCATTACCAGATTTTTCCTCTTTTTGTTCCTGTGACTCTAGACCCAAGAGGGTTTTCTCTCTTTTATCTTCAAAACCTACTCACCCTCTTGTAAACCAACCAACCAAAAGAGACGCACCCTAGATGCTGACAGGAAAGCTAAGTGGTCCTGAGGAAGATAGGGCTTTGGAAAACAATCATGGAAAAGAATTAAATTAAGATTATAGTTACACCAAGTTTTTTTAAGAAGAAATCTGAAAGTGGATAAGAAAAGACGAAAAGATAATGGCTTGAAAGGTTCCTAAAATTGAAATATGTACATTCTGGTCTGTTAAAAGCAACGATGCCACTCGACCAAATTTTAACAAATTAATTTACATTCTAAGTATCATTCCTTGGAATCATCTATAGGGCCAGGAAACAGAGATGGAGATGGAGAAAGAGAGAAAAGTGGGAAAGATGAAGGGAAGAAATCGACCCCAGAACCAGAACTGGGTGTTGTGCAAAGGATGATGGAAAGACAAAGAAAGAACCTGAGGACCCAGTGATACCTGTGGTCCCTAAAATTCACCAACCCTCTTCTAATTTCTGGTTAACCTCCCCGTAAGGAATCAGAAACAAGCGATCACTCTCAGCTCCTTCTCAGGACACTGTGAATCAACCACAGCCAGGTAACTGTACAAGCAGTTCAAAAGCCTACTTTACACTCCTTAAGTTCAGGCAGAACACCAATGCAAGGCCTGATAAGAGATATTCAAAACTCTAGCTGTTGACCTTCTGATAACTAAATTGCAAGGCAGGCATAATTACTGAAGCAGGTGCAAAGTGTGCTTTCTTATAGCACTTCACTAGTCAGCCACAGGCAAGCACTGACCTGGAAAGAACAGAGGCCCGTTAACTCCACTGCTCTGCAGAAAGGAAAGCTCACAACGATCTTGATGCCTTCCTTCAATGAGCTCTGAAGGAAACCCCTGAGGTTGCAACTGGTCTCCAGACAGGGGTGCAGAGTGGGGACTGCACGGATCAGGCAGGTTCACAACTCAATGGTATAGAGGGACACAAAGCCACCACCCAAAAAAAGTGCGTTGAACAATCATCAGCAAGAATTAACATGCTGGTTGACTGAAACTACAGCTGACTAATGGAAAGATAGGCATAACCTCTTCCTCCCCTCCCCTCCCCTCCCCTCTCCCCACCCGGAAAATAGCAATAATTGTAAAGGAGAGTGTGGAGGCCCAATCCAGAATCCAGACATCAATCTGGATGGAATTTAAACTGGATTTAGTAAGTACCGGGTGTGTTAGACACACCCTGGCCAACTCTATGTTCCCCCTCTGGAGCCGCCTTGTCACATATAAGGATACACTTTGTATTCAAGCACCTGTTGCCGCCTCCAGCAACACCCTCTCAGACAAGTAAGCGCCCAGCACTCAGCCTTGCCACAGAAGTGCGCCAGGCCAATCTCTGCGGGGCTAGTCCTATCTAACTCACAGACTTTTGGAAAATCCTTTCATTTCCGTTTTCTCATTCGTGAAATGGAAATAAGAATACAATTTTCGCAAGATCATTGTCAGGATTCATCTCGTTAAGACACTGTCCAGAACGTCTACAAGGACTTGCTGGTAGACCTGACATCGTTCAGTAGATCCCACGAACAGCACTGCAATCGCACCTACTGTCAGGGGTCGGAACCTTCGGTAAAGTCAGCACCAAATGAAACTAAACGGCATGCTACAGTGTGCTTCAACCTGACACACCACCGCCGCTGACCCTGACGCTTCCCGCAGCCCAGCCAGCTCCCTCGGTGCAGAGCTGCAAGAGCGAAAGTGCCCAGGAGGAACAGAGGCCAGCACACCACTCCAGCTCCACACACCCGCAGGGACAGTCACCCAGGCGCCCACTCCCAGGGCCGCACGCGTGGGAAACCACGTCTCGGCCTTTCTCAGGCATTCAGCGACTACAGCGCGGCGGCTCGGAGCTCTTTACCTGCCAACGATTACCACCACTCCGCTGGGCGTAGAGGACGCCATGGTCGGTTCCTGACTGGGCGGGAGACTCGGCACCTACAGCCCCAAGACCAAGGCGCAGGCGGGACTCCAGTCCCCGCGCCGGGGCGTTGAGGGGCGTTCTCCGCGCCCATTGGCTCTGAAGGCTCGAGGGCGGGGCAGAGAGCGGGGCGCTCGGCCCCCATTGGGTGCGCACGGCCAACCACCGCCTTCCCTGTCTCGCTGGCCCCAACCCGTGGGTACGAGGAACGTGACCCAACTCCTGGCTGGAGGGCAGAAGAGAACTGATATTCTTAACCCGAGTAATTCATTACTTTTCAGTTTCTAACAGAGCACTGTAAAACCAGTGTCCATAGGCGAGGACACTGCCAGACTGGCAGGCTCGACTACTAAAGCATCCCCAAAGAAACGATCAGGAGAATGTCTCATTCCAAGACGGAAGAAGACTTCAAAAAGTGCCTGGAGAGATGGAATTGAAGTACCAATTTATTTGGGGGACATTTTTTTTTAATCCATGCAAAGCTTTTTCATAATAAATATTTTCCACGAACTCTGTGATGATCCCTGGTATTGTTAGGAGTTGTTAGGGATAATAAACTCGGTTGGGCAGGTAGAGATCAGAGAACTAACTAGCCTGGACACAAACTCCAAAAGGAAGGACCATGTGACTGTATTGTAACATCCAACTACATCAAAACCACTCCGTGGCATGAGACCTGCGAGAAACAAGAATAAGGAAGGAGAAAGAAAAACAAGAATAAGGGACAGGGCAAAGGAGGTGTAAGAGCACATATTTTAGATGAACAGAGGGTCAAAAATGGGATAAAGGGGGACCCCAGAAGGGAGATGGGGCTGCTTGCCTCCCTTGGTAATAGCCCGCTGAGTCTGCCCAATGCGTCTCTCTATACATAAACTTTGTGCTCAGCTTGCCTCCTCCTTCAATCCTTTGCTATGATGAGGACAGAGACAGCTTGTTTCTCAACCTAACATGTTTGGTACCACGACCATGTTTGGTCTGCACAAGGTTAGCTCCGCTATTTTTCTTTTACTATGCATCCTTTTGTTTTTTCCACCCACTTTGACTCCCTCTGCCTCAATGCACAATGCAATTGGTAGCCTCGGCTCACTCAAGGCAAATCAGTGCCCATCATAGTCTCTCCTGTCTCCTTCCCTGTGCTGACCCACTCATTGGAGATTTCCAACTGATCCACAGGGGACTGTGGAGAGGGGTCGGCCATGGCTTCTCCCTTGTATGTTTCCCAAAGCCCTCAGACAGGGATCGAAGTTCTCCATCCCCTTTGGGCGCGGTTGAGCCAAGCTGGAAGTTTTGCTTTAATTTTCTGGCTTAGCAGAAATCCTAGAACCTGTGTTTGGGGAATATGAAAGTGGTGGCCAGGGCTACTCCTTGGTATGCTTCCAAAGCCCTCAGATTGAGGACAAGAATTTCCTTATCGGTTAGCAGAGTAAGTCTTGCCTAATTCTGCTTCTCCTGTCTTCACATTTCAGCTATGTTTAATTCTATATCCATTTCCTCCACCTGCTTTCACCTACAAACTGTGTACCCCCATGCTGTCACATCTTTATCTCATCGAATGCACTTCATCTTGCTTCTGTGAGTTATTGGCGGGATACTCTGCCAAGAATCTCTCCTGGCATTCCCAACGGGCCTCCTTCTGGGGAAATGGGAATCCCCCAACTTTTCTGGGGCATGGGGTACCTATCTCCAACAAAGCTGATACTCACAGGGGCATCTATCCTGTTTCCTCCTTCATATCCATCGCCAGCATACTTGAGTCATCAAGAACAATGAGACTTTGGATTTTTGTTCATTTGATCTTGGGACCCTTAGGCACTCACTAGAGGGTACAGGCACTTGAGAGGGCTTTCTCAGATTTCCACTTTGCCTTCTAGACATGACGTTGATCTTTATGGACTTCCATCCTTATTTCCTTATTTCCTCTTTTCTCTAGATTCATAAGCCGATGGCTGATGAGGGACCCAAGGGTATGTGATACCCAATGCTATACCACACTTTGGCCACTAGGGTTGCTGCTTTGTTCGCTACCACCTTCCAACTTGTCTCTTCTCTTCACTTGGGTTTTAGACTTTCAGGACTATACATTATGTTATCTCCGCTTTGATGTTTACTGCAGGTCTGACGTTCCTACCTCCAGCTTCCTGGCCATGATAGCTAATCCTCTTAGTACACACACACACACCTTACTCTATGTTGCACCGTACATGGGTTCTCACCGAGATGCTAGGGCACACTGTTTAATCACATCCATCACCAATGATGTTTCCTGTGGGTTGTCCAACTTCCAACACAGGCCACCCTTCTGGACCCCTGCTTTTTAGGAGTTTACATGCCACTCCCATCCAACTATTGAAGTACTTAGCTTTAAATCTGCCAGCGATACTCTTTTTGACAGTTTTAGAGTCCCCAGAAACAGTACAGTTGCCTACTTTTCTCAGTCCTAGATGTAAGATATTAGGCCGGACCATCAAGGGCACTGGATCCACTGTAGTGATTGGGATGCCAGTGCCACTTGGTCCTGACCCAGGACGCTGGCCTTCAGACTCCACAGGAGGATTTGCCTGACTCGCTCCAGGATGCTAGGTTCTCACTTTTCTCCTTTTTTAAAAAATTTATTTATTATTTATTCATTCATTCATTTTAATTTGACCAGAGAGAGAGAGAGAGAAAGTGAGAAAGCAAGCCACCAGGTCTAGGACTTGAACCGTGGTTAGCCATGTGTGAGTGTCCAGCGCCTAAACCACAATGCCACCTGCTGGCTCCCACTTTTCTCCTTTATTTTACAAATGAGCAATCAACTGGCTAATCTTATAGACACTCTTTTGATATGTATTTTAGACAACTGGAAATAATTTGACCCACAAACTCTTTCTCTCTTTCTTCCTTCCTTTCTCTCTCTCTTTCTTCCTTCCTTTCTTTCTTTCTTTCTTTTTTTTTTCTACAGTGTGCTTTGCTCATCAGGGAGAAGGAAACATACAAACAGAGAAAGAGAAAGTAAGAAGGAACACCCCTGCCGACCCCAGAGGGATGGCCATGAAGCAATCCCTTCATTTCCATTCTCCTCTTGGGATATAGGACACGCATGTACACACACCGTGTGTGTTCCTTAAGCTGCTGGGTCTGGGACTCAAACCAAACAGTTGGCCATGTGGGATCCAGCCACCTTAACCACTACACCATTAGGTGGTCCCCTTCAAACTCTTAAGAAGAAGCATCTTGTATTCTTTTTTTTTTTCTTTTAAGGTTTTTGCCATAGGGCATGACATTCACTGAAGAGATGGAGAGACACAGTGAGAGAGAAACTGAGAAATCACCACCCCAGCCGAGGGCAGGGGAGATGGCCACGCCATTCTCTTCTCCTCCATTCTCTTCTTGAGATTTTGAGCACGCATGCACAGGTGCCCAGTGTGTTTTGAGCCGCTGGATCCAGGACTCAAACCATGGTCAGCCATGTGGGAGTCCAGCACCTTAACCACTATGCTACCTGCTGGCCCACATCTTGTATTCTTTTACAACACCACTTGGCTTCAATATGAGCTAGAAGGTGGAGAACATTGGCCCATAAATGAGAGTACCGAATTCAATACTATTCAGCAATTAGATCTCTCTTGTAAACACTTGGGGAGGTAGGGAAAATTCCATACATGCAGTGTTTTTATGTATTGAGAAATATGGGTACCCTTTGCTCCAACTCAACTTATGCTTCTCCCCCACTGGCTCAGGGCACACCAGGCTCCCCAGACTCATTCGACATAAAATTTAAGGACTCCTAGCCTACTAGCACTCAGACACTGTTCCTCTATTCTATCTCTACACCTAACTCTGCTAGAGGCCCCAGAGATGACTTCCTCTAGATTGTATCCTTCAGTTGAGTCTGGAGGGGGAGAATGTGGACCTATCCGAGGTCACAAGCCATTTTCTCTTAATTCTGCTGGTGTCTGTAAATCTCAGTTTTCTGTAAATCTATTTGCCTTTAACTAGAAAGGTGTAATACCATGTGCATCTGAGGGAGATGAAAGTATCCTATGGGGTTTTGGTTGCTTATAGGGCCCTGTAGATAAGGGCCAACGTCTTTTAGCAGCCTTGATTGTCCCAGACTCTCCACCAGAAAAAACAATACCGAGCATTGGATCAGCACCCTACAATTATTCACTGTGTTACTAGGAACTTACCTATAGGTATCCCAGATAGTGGTGCATACATTTCAGGCACACTCTTTGGCCTCGGTGGGGTGTCACTTCTCATCATCACATGCTCTGTAATATATCTCAGACTCTTATTATCATGCCTATGGAATTGCTACTGCCCTCACAGCCTCAAAGATCTCCTTAGACTCGTCGGCAGAAATGGTTCTTGACAACTGTACTAATCTAGATGATTTGTTTACAGAACAAGGAAGTAGGTATGGAAACTAATTCCTGCTGACCCACTCATTGGAGATTTCCAACTGATCCACAGGGGACTGTGGAGAGGGGTCGGCCATGGCTTCTCCCTTGTATGTTTCCCAAAGCCCTCAGACAGGGATCGAAGTTCTCCATCCCCTTTGGGCGCGGTTGAGCCAAGCTGGAAGTTTTGCTTTAATTTTCTGGCTTAGCAGAAATCCTAGAACCTGTGTTTGGGGAATATGAAAGTGGTGGCCAGGGCTACTCCTTGGTATGCTTCCAAAGCCCTCAGATTGAGGACAAGAATTTCCTTATCGGTTAGCAGAGTAAGTCTTGCCTAATTCTGCTTCTCCTGTCTTCACATTTCAGCTATGTTTAATTCTATATCCATTTCCTCCACCTGCTTTCACCTACAAACTGTGTACCCCCATGCTGTCACATCTTTATCTCATCGAATGCACTTCATCTTGCTTCTGTGAGTTATTGGCGGGATACTCTGCCAAGAATCTCTCCTGGCATTCCCAACGGGCCTCCTTCTGGGGAAATGGGAATCCCCCAACTTTTCTGGGGCATGGGGTACCTATCTCCAACAAAGCTGATACTCACAGGGGCATCTATCCTGTTTCCTCCTTCATATCCATCGCCAGCATACTTGAGTCATCAAGAACAATGAGACT